TTTTTTTTTTTTTTCAGTTGAATTATACTTAAAGTTCAGGGTAATCAACTGTTAAAAACATACTGTTAAAAAAAAAATTCTCCAATAAATGGATGTTTTCAAAGTCAATGAATAATCGCAATTACAATTATTGACCCAAATAATCGAGATTATGATTTTTGCCATAATCGAGCAGCGCTATTTTATACACATTTCTTTCTGATCCAGCCCTAAATGTATGTTTCCTTGTCTCTCTTAACCGCCATTTAAAATGTACTTCTCACAGTCTCACAGTCCCGGATATTGTGATGTCTAATGTTCACAGACAAACTAGGTTAACATCAATACAATCCACATGACTAAACATGAATTGTTTCAGCAGGGCGACATGTTTGTTTAGTCGTGTATACACTTCTGTCTCCACCCTGGTTTGTCCTTAGGCTCAACAATGTCCTTTATATTGAAGCAGAAACACAGTCCTCACTTTCTGTTTAAAAGTGTTTGAACATTAGACTTCTGTAAGTTTAGACAAAAGCAGCTAATGAAGCAACGTGTCTGTTATGAGAGTGACACAAGAACTGAACACATTACACAACACTGTTAGCTCTCATTATAATGGATGTTAACTCAGACCAGAGTATTAAACATCGTTTTCTCACAGGGATATGTTGGGCAGTCTTTTTCTGTATTGTTTGAAATGTGGATGCATTTAAATACACAATCATTTGTGTAGCTTAATGGGTCAAATACCTTGAATTCGGAGGTAATTGGGATGATAAAATGTTCCTACTTCTTAAGCTAAACAAACTAGGGCTGTTTTTCTGAGACTTCTTATAGAAACACATCGATGTGACAGGACAGCAACACAAACATATGATGATATTTTAGATTAGAATGCATTGCTGTAGATGAAAGTACCCAACAGCATATTCAGAAGTTTAAATTGTTACAACAATAAACATCTATAGCAGTGAAATGCAACATATACTTCAATGCTGCAGTAATATTAATCCAAAAACATAATATATCATGGTTCGACACTGACAGAAAACATTTGAATTTGTATACTTTAAGCACATTTCCCTGGTGATACACTTTTACTTAAGTAAGGCTTTGAAGGCAGATGTTATACTATTCAGTTTGGTATTAGTACTTGAACAAGAGGATCTGCACCTCCATCATTCTGCAGCTACTTCATTACTTTCTACGTTAAAAATACAGTATATTTTGTATCTATAAGTTCTATCTCTTTGCTCGAACTATTTCCCTCTCTGGGACTCAAAAAGCTATTCTGATTCTGATAATAATCACACAGCTGCACCTGCTCTGCCTCCCATGGACAAGCAGGAGTAAATATGCTCTCAACCTTTGTTTAAATCACTGAATAAAGACCTGATGAAACTGTGAATCTGAATCTTAAGGACTTAAGGTTAAATAACAATAGCTTCACTATTATAATAACCTTTAAAAACGTAGTGAAATTGAATTCCTGAGTCCATTCATGCCAGTTACATTCCCCCAACGGCTACATCTGTCAGTTAGCATAACACAAATAACGATATTATGCCATTTTATCTTCAGAAACATGACATATGATGTTAAACAACGTTATTATTGTCCTTAACTCACCTCCTGTTCATGGGTCTCACCCGGACAGCCACCCGAACAGATGCCATCTCTCATGTCCGTTAAATCTAGTTAGTTAGTTAGCCTCACAATGCAAAGCTTCGAGCTAATTAGCTAGCAGGCTAACCCACTAGCATGAACTTCAACGGGATAAAGGGGGCAAAAGTCGCAAAGATAACCGGCTGACTGCACAGGAAATGTAGAAATTACACAGATATTGGTGAGGAGAAGAGGGAAGCCACCGTGGACAGGTGTTATAGTTGTCCGGTGACACTGCTACACCGTCCCCGTGTGAACCGGCTCACATCCATGGTCACTGTTAGTTTAGCTTGTTAGCTTTCATATGACAAAAAGCAGCGGAGTAACGGGCAAGCATCAGCTGATGAAAACACAACATCTGTACGGAAGCCGGGAGAGGACAAAAACACAGCTGGAAAGAACATGAAAAACCCTTCAGAATTGAAGTGGAAGAAGTACTAAAATCTTGTATCTAAGTAAAAGTAGAAGTACCAGAGTGTAGGAATATTCTGTCTCAATTAAAAGTCCTGCATTAAAAGTGTTACTCAAGTAGAATTACATAAGTATGAGCATCAAAATATACTACCAAAGCAAAAGTAGTCATTGTGCAGATTGACCCATTTAAGAATAATCTATATAAATGTTTTCATTATAATTATTGGTGTACTCAATTATTGATGTACTCATATATCAAAGCTGGTAAAGTTGCAGCTAGTTTGAATTACTTTATCTACTGCTTGGAAAAATGTGAATTTAATCCAGATATAACTACAGTCTTGTTAAAGTGTTGATTATATTGTTTATCATTCATCTATATCTGCAAAGTAACTACACCTATGTAGTGGGGTAAAAACACAATATTTACCTCTAAATAGTAATGGAAAGTGGCAAAAATACCTACCTCAAAATTGTACTTAAGTACTCGAGTAATAGGCGTACTTAGTTTCTTAAAACCACTGGAAGCCCATTCTCAAAACAATTTGAAAACATAGCCTTTTGATAATAAAGATGTCAGAAGTTATTATAGTGATAAGCTTTCTTGAATAATTTATTGGTATCTCGAAAAAATTACAAATCTTTTTTTCAAGGTGACTGTTCCTATTTAAATAGGCAAACACTTTTTTGCTATCAATTAACACTGATTTCTTATATTCTTACTGAACTGTTTTTCATCAGCATATTTCTCGTCAAGATTCTATGGCAGGAAATTTTACATTTAGGATTTTTTGTATTTAACATATTTAGAACTTACAAAAGCTTGGTTAGGATATCATCAAGTTATCAACACAAGTGCAAAGAAAAAAGGATATTACAATGACATTCATTCACAATAAGACAAAAAACAAAAAAAATACATTTAAGAGGCATTAAGCTTACTTAAAAATAATAACCATTTGGAAATGTCATTGTAAATCTTTATCGACCGGTTACAAGATTGTATTTTTCTAAGGGACAGACAAAAGGACTTGAAATCATTTATGAGACAGGGAAAGGAGGGCTAGACTCCTCTCCATTTACTACAATGTATGGTATTTACCTTTATATATAAAGTCTATGGTATTTATTACCCACACATTTATGAATGAACATCATGTGAAACGTTGTAAATGCTGCCTGTAGTTCTCCTCCCGGCCTGAGGGGGCTCTACATGTTAAATCAGGTTAAAGCAGCGCTCTCTGTTATCGGCGCGAGCAGCAGCTTCCTGTTACATGTGAGCAGTGTGGTGAGGAGGTGAGTTTAATATGTATACATCTTTCCTTTATTCGTATCTGTTTCTACATTTTACCAGATCCCCTATCCAGTTAATACTTGTCTATGGTTTATGTTTGTATCGGTGATCACACTGGTCAGCTAGCTGAACACATAGCTAACTGCTGCTAGCCTTCCTTTAGTTATGAATGGATGTAGCTTGCGTTGAGCTAACGTATGCTAATATTAGCTTCAGCTACGCGGATGGCCTGATTTAAAACGTTAAAAACTCTTGAAAATGGAAATTAAACTATACCGTTGATAGTTGTGCATTATGGCTTCTGTCAGCAGCTCCTTATTTGTGATTTGTAGGATAACACATGTTTATTAAGACTTTCTGGACATGTTTTATATGTCATTAGCATTGGTGGTGACAGTTTCATTAAGTGTGTAGTATTCTGCAACTACAGATGATTTTGGTACAATCAGATGTTTAAGAGGACTGCCTTATGGTCGTATGGTTTTCACGATGTTAGGTTGTAGAAAATCATATTAAAAATTGATTTTAATTGTATGATGGTTTTGTTTTATACATGGAGAACAAGACACTGTACAACTGTTCAACCAGACTGACAATGTAAAGGACAGAAAAACACAAACATCCCTCTGAGCAACCCTTCAATAAGAACAGAAGAAATCAGCATAGAAACTGAGTGTGCAGATCTTACTATCCTAGACAAAAAAGACTAGATTATTTTATTTTTTGGACCACCTTGAGTTATCTCCTTGCCCCTTGCATCCTTATACTAGGTTGGGTTAAATGCAGAGTCTAAATTACACTATGTGGGTATACTGTATGTGTGAAGAAGTTGATCAGTTCCTCAAATCCATTTCCAATTGTACTGTTTTTGTATCTGTTAAAATAGTGTTAAATAAGGGAAGGAAGATTCCCCCCTTTCATCCGTAGTGTTTTTAGGCTTCAGATATGGATTTGCAGACTTTAACATCCTCTCCTGCTGTTTTGTCAGACACCACCATGGATATCCGACCAAACCACACGATTTACATCAACAATATAAATGATAAAGTCAAGAAAGAAGGTAAGTTACTGCTAATTCTCACTTTATGGCTTAAAATGTGAATTCATAATAACCTGTAAACAAAAATAAAACCAAACTCAAAGAAGTGCTTTGACACTTTGAACCTGAAGTTCCTTGTTACTTTTCGGTGTCATATATATACTTACAAAATCTATGATGAGTCGGATGAAAGTATCTACCATGTTATGCTGATGCAAAGAAGTCTAGACATTGTCACTAAAGCTTTATCTCTAGACTATGAAAACTAAACTCATGTAATCGTTGTGTTGTTGTAGTCACACATGAGCCTTTGTGTCAAACTCTGTCTCTTCTCCTCTTCCTCCTTTAGAGATGCAGCGGTCGCTCTACGCGCTCTTCTCTCAGTTCGGTCAGATCGTTGATATCGTGGCGATGAAGACCGCGAAGATGAGGGGTCAGGCCTTCGTCGTCTTCAAAGAGCTCGCCGCCGCCACCAACGCACTGAGGCAACTTCAGGGCTTCCCCTTCTACAACAAACCCATGGTAGGAATAATGATGCTGTGTTTGCCGTGTCCTCACACACATCGCCTGATGGCCAGTTTTCTCTCTCTTTAATACTCTGACTGCATTTAGTCATGTTTTCATATGTGATCAGACAACTTTATCATGGTTCTTGTGTACCTTAAAGGTCACCTATTATACAAAATCCAAAACATGTCTCCCCCCCCCCACTCTCTGTGTAAAGAGTCTCTGAAAGTTTCAGGAAAAAAGATTCTCTCTCTTTTTGTCCTGATCCATTTCTATAAAAACCTGTCTGAAAATGAGCTGATCAGATTTTGGCCACTTTATGATGTCATAACGATGTTTTGGCTTGTGTAACCATTAGCCAATCAGCAACCAAGGTAACACCCGCCCCAACCTATCACCTGAATCTCCTCCTAGAGCACCATTGAGTTCTTTGTAACCAAATCTCTCTCAGAGGGGTGTGGGGAGGGGCTCCTTATTTTCATCTAAAGTAACAGACAGAGAATCAGCACTTTGGAAACAGGGCTGAAACAGAGGGGATTATGGGTAATGCTGCAATGATCTGTTTGGTGTTTGGAGTCAAACACTTCAGAGACATGTTTTGTATATATCTGAGACCTGTAATATATTGATGATGAACAGTATAATAGGGGACCTTTAATGAAACATAACAAAGTTGAGTGCATGTTGCTACAACAGCTGCAAGAATGTATAAGATATCAGAACCCTTGACATGTTTCCCCGCTCTGAAAAGGCTCTGGGCTTTATTGACTGGATTTATTTTGTTTTCCAGAGGATACAGTACGCAAAGACAGACTCAGAGGTCATCGCCAAGGCGAGAGGCACGTTTGGCGACAAGGATAAAAAGAAGGACAAGAAGAAGAAGCCTCAGGAGCCACCAACCAGCATGCTAAAGAAACCGGCAGTAAGTCACGCTTTTATTTATTTTAAAGCGGGATTGAGTTTTGTTTTCAAATATTTCAAACTTAACAACGTAGCAGCAAGTCAGGAGTGACGGGAGAAGATCCTTTACCTCAGTTAAAGTACTAATAACACTAGAAGTAACATTTCTTAATTCAAAATGTTACTTGGGTAAAAAGTAGAGAAAAGTAATTCGACAACGTGGAGCACATTTTGGATACTTTGAGAATATCATGAGCGGCATCAGAAATTGATAGTGATCCTTTTAGAGATTAAATATCAAATCTATAACTCGTAAAATTCAGGGTTTTCTTGGGGGAAGAGTTGTGCAGTGTATTTACAAGCCGTAAAAAAATATGGAAAACTTTTGTTTTACCCGGCTTCATAACACAAAGCTATTTAAGGTCAGATACAAAAACTCCACCAGCCCTCCACCCACGAGACGCGCTGTTCCTCCGCAGCTGGGAACTGATGAAAGCTGGATCACCGAACTTCACACATTACAGTCACTTAGCAGGGAGATTGATGACTGTAATACAAAAAACAAGGGACATGAGAGACAACTGGAAGAAATGTTTCCAAAAAGCTGTTTGTTTCTCGTTATTTTTTCGTGTGCACGTCAGAGTGTTTGGGATCAGTCACCTCTCTGCAGAATAAATCAGGAGACGTTAGATAGCAGTATAAACACGAGAGAACAATAATCAGCACACACTCAGCAATTCCAGGAAATAGTTTGGAGGAGGAGGTGAACCTTTGCAGAAGACTTTGAACTGCTGCCCATCTGTAATAACTTTCTGATGAGAAGATCTGGCTACATTGTCTATCTTAAAATATGACTTCTTACCAACGTCACGTGGCTACATTATCTATCTTAAAATATGACTTCTTACCAACGTCACTGCTTTAGTTACCCTATGAGAAATGTGCTTCCAGTCGGTAGTTGTCAAACTTAATGATCAATTCAAAACAATCCCCTGTTTTTATGACTATTTTCTAACCCATGATGATGTTTCAGATGTTAAAAACCTGGAAAAGTCATGCAAATTCCAGGTCCTGGAAAAGTTATGGAAAACAATATTTTTCCCAAAGTTTTGTAAAAGTCATGGTAATTTAACTAAAGTTGCATGAAATATAATTTATATTTTATCTAATGGCCGAAATAGTGATACTATAATGATAATAAATACTGTATGGTATAGTAATGAAACGTAAAATGGCTTTTAACTGACGAGGTATTTTGCTGGTGAGAGATTTGAGTTGCTTTAGCGTGTAGAAGCTAGTAAGCCTATTTGATTTGTTTTAGACGGGCACGACATGTTTCAGACCTTATTTTCCTGTTCCATGTTAAAATAAACAATTTTCAGTGGTACCGCTGAGAAAGAGTTATTTTTTTGGACATGGAAAATTAGTTAAAGGTCATGGAGAAGTCATTGAAAAGAAAAACATTGGTGAAAAAGTGCATGAACCCTGTTTTTCAAGCTGATTGACTTATTTCCCAAAAACGTATGAGTGGTTCTTTTTGCATGACTCTTTGTGGAGAAACTCAGTTTTACAGATCCGTTGACTCGTAAGTGTTAGGTGGCTAATTTCTGTCGTTTCAGATTTTAGAGTATTATTCCTTGTTCTGAAAGTTATTCTTTATGTTATCTAAACATGTTATCTATCTAGATATTCTTATATGCACGCAAACCCAAAACTCTGACGCTAGTCTTCATGTGTTTGACTGTTGTTTGTTTCTTGTTTGCAGGGATCAACATCTCCTCCACACTCCGGTTCAGCACAGGTAAGCTGACAGGAACACAAGCTAATCGGCTTATTTGAGTTTGAACAAATAATCCAGGATCATGTTAGACTATTGTTGAAATAAAGCAGAGAAATGTTGGACTAGTTGACACTTTATAACTGAAAATGTAATTTGAGTTTTGTCGCCAATTGAGAAGTTATTACTGACGCTATTTTGACAACTTTTTCATCCATTTAAACAGTTTGAGCCTCGTATGATTTTGCAGTCTGTGCGCAAAGATTATTTTTTAAACGTGACATTTGCGTTATTTTTAAAGCTGCATATCATTTCTGAAGTGTCTTTTGTGAACTGTTATTGACTAAGGTTCGTTTTCGTCTCGGTGTAAACGGGGCCTGAGTCCCAAGTCGGTCCTAATCCACTATTCCATGACAGAAAAAGTGAATGTTATAAATGGAAATCTTCCCTATGTTTAGTTGATCTGTTCCGCACCCCGAACACACGATCTCTCTTGTGTTCTCAGGTGGCGGATAATCCTCCAAACTACATCCTGTTCCTCAACAACCTGCCTGAAGAGACCAACGAGATGATGCTCTCCATGCTGTTCAACCAGTGAGTTCACTGCCAGGCGTCTGGCTTTACAGAAAGAGTCTGTCTGTGTTTTAAGGTTACGGTTAGTTTATAAAGGCAACGTGCTTTAAATAGGCATTCACAAACATGGACATTTAAATGACCTAAACAGAAAAGAAGACAAATCATGAAAGAGATAGAAACAGTAAACATTGACATTGGATATTCCAGTTGTTGCTGCAAGAGGTGGAGAGGTATACTAATACTATGTTGTTGAATGACCTCTGGAAAAGCAAATACATTTTTTTTTTTTTTACTTCATCTTTACTCCACATCCTTGGAGCATAAAAAAAGTGGTGTCCATCGATTTAAAAATAATAAGCAATGACTCCTGACCAATCACAAGTTAACAACACTAGTATTTAGTTATATATTGGGGGGGAGATAAATCAAATAAACATGTGGTGTTGTAATAAAGACACGTATGACAAACTGGTAAGATAAATCAGAGGGTTTTATACTTTATTATTATTACATAATTTCTGAATTATTGGCATGAAGTCGGACAATTTTCCGACACAGCAGCGGTCACGGAGAGCCTCTGTGATTCCCCTCTCTATATAATGTGCTTTCCACAGAGTGTATTATCTCTGCTGCTATCATACTGAGAGCTCTCTCTGTTCTACAGTGGAGTCTGCCTTCTGTCACTCCTGTGCGACATCTTTTTCACCAAATGAGTACAGCTTTAATGTTTCATCGATTAGCTTTGACTGAGGCACTGATGGTTCTTACTGACATACATGTAGCCACTTTCTTTGCCTTTTTACTGCCATGCCATTCTCCTGGGGAAGAGTGACTGCCCTAATAAAACCTGAGAGCTGCTTCTGCGTGTTTGGTTTCTGACCCTGGGAGTGATGAGTAGGCCTGTCTCGTAACAGCAGCTTATCAGACATTTATTGTGTGTGTGCTGACGGTGTTTTTCTTCCTCTGCAGGTTTCCCGGTTTCAAAGAGGTGCGACTCGTCCCGGGGAAACACGACATCTCCTTCGTGGAGTTTGAGAGTGAAACTGCCAAGGCACACA